GCGAAGAAGAGGAGCAGAGAGAGGGAGAGAGAGAGAGAGAGAGAGAGAGAGAGAGAGAGAGAGAGAGAGAGAACAATCAAACTTGAAGGAACATCGTTAGCTTGCCACTTATGTTAAAGCTTAGATAAATATTTTGAGGAAAAGTTCTGCAACAGGGCTAATAACCAAATGTTTTTATGAAATTTCTCAGCTTTTGTCCAAATATGGAATTGTGATTGTTTATTATTTGAATACAATCAGATGAGCAGAAGTACAGGTCAAATGATCTTCTAATTGATACAAACAATCGTCTTGCACAAACCCTTTGCCTCTTCTAAACATCAAAACTTTGGTGACGATGACGGAAGTTGAATAAACACATCACCAAAAAACCATATTCTTTCCTTCTTTTCATTGTTCTTCTCTCACTTTTTTGTATGGGAGAGTGAGAGAGAGATAGAACAAGAGTATAGTTAACATGAGAGAGGGTCAGAGAATGAAAAGATACACAAAGTGTTGGGAACCTTGTTCAGGAGCAAAGTCTTGAAACATTTCATTTCCGGGGATTCTTGGGAACAGCCGCTTCACAACGGGAAATTGCAAACAAATGATTTCATTTATGGTTGTCGAGATGCATGGAACGGTTGATCTTCTTACTCTCTCTCTCTCTCACTCATCATCATTATCATCTTTCACATCATCTTCATTTCTGTCACATACTTCACACGCAACACCTAAATACCTTAAGACAAAGACGTGTGCACAGTAATTACCACTCATTGGACTACTTCTCCTATTGGGGGCTTCACTGATCTGTTCCATTTTCATTATCATAGAGTCTTTTCAGTTTTGAAGAAGTTCGGAAGATGCACACAATGATCTGTCGTGTCAAAGATCGCGATGACTTTCCCATCTTGTTGGTCGGAAATAAAGCTGATTTGGAAGCTGAACGCCATGTAAGTTTTTTTTATTTCCGAACCAATCAGCTGTTGGTTTGCTTCATTTGGCCGATAAAAAATAGACTTGGGTGGGCCATAGAACTTCACAACTTCCAGTCTCCCTAGGGATAGTTGGGGCATACTTACTCATCAAATTTTCTGCCCCCTTATAGGCATCTCATGGCTTGGCAAGTCAAAAAAGAGATAAATCCTTCAGGAGTTTGAGCATTTCCGTCCAAAAATAGAAAATAGAGAGAGTAAATGAAGAAGAAGAAACATTCCGAAATATGGAAAAGCACGTGATCCCTGGAAACAATCCAAAAACTGAGGCAGTAAGGGATGAAAGAGCTTGTCCTTGGATAACTCAAATGTCGATGGAAGAGAGAGAAAGGGAGCAGAAAACGAATCGGTTATAAACCATTAAACAGTCCTACAGCTCGTTCATAAACACAAACGAGGTCTGTTACAAGTGCCATTTTGAAGGTGTTAAGTGTGGGGTATGTAACAAAGAGATTTCCCTTGAGCCACCTGTCCTTTCGGTTGAACTAGGAAACCAACAAAAAAAAAAGTTTTTTTATTCGCATTCGCTCAACAGCAGTTTAATTACGACAACACATTTGATGAGAAACTGTGGCCTTGAATTGAAAATTGTTTCCAACTTTTTGTTTTGTTTGTTGTGGAGCAGCAATAAGCTTTCTAAAGTTTCATGAGCCTTTTTGGTATTATCTCTATGTTTCCGAGACTTTTTAAGTGCTATTAGCTACCAGAGCGCCATCACTCTGGGGAGATGACAAACGGATATTCTACCAGCTGACACCAAGTATTTGGAAGGGGTAAAACGACCTCAAACCATTGAAATCAGCATAGTTGGCCAGAAATAATTTGTTTGAGTTGTGAAGAGGCAAAAAATGTTTTTTTTCGCCAAAGAAAACAAATTTCCCATTAGGTCGAAGGTCGTACAGATTGCGTTTTTGCGTTCGTTCGGGTTTTGATGTGACAATTTGAAAAAAATCATTTCCAGGTTGCTCGACATGAAGGCGAAGATCTGGCGAAAGCATTGGGTATTGGTTACATTGAATGTTCAGCGAAGTTTCGGATTAATGTTGACAAAGCATTTCATGATGTCGTCCGATTAGTAAGGTACGTGCATAACTATACGTATAGTTATAACATTCATTCATCTTACACTTCCAATCATAAAAATTGCTAAGCTTTTAACGTAACATGTGTTTGTACATATTCGTTCAGACTATGTGTTCAATCTGTTTGTACAAGATCTTCTTTTTCTTCTTCTTTTCTTACCTTTCACACTCCTCTCTTCTTACATCCAGAGGGACTAATCTAATTGAGATTTTATAGGAAATATCAGCAGGATGAACGTAATGCAGCTATTCATGAGGATCGTCGGATAGATTCACCGGCTGCCAAAGGCAAAAAGAAGAAGAACTGCCGAATACAGTAAATGACAAACTCAGATGTAACATCCACTCTTCTCATGGACAACAATGAATCTCAGTTTGATTGAGAGAGAAGCTCAATTGCCAGAATAATTCAAAGATTTTACCAAAAGACCAATTCAATCAGAGCTTTCTGTATTGTCTTCTCATAGCCAGTATAGATAATGAAGGTTATACAGAAAACTCTGCTGCTTACAGCATGACTCAAACTATCCTTAAGAGCTGTCCTTGTCTTCTCGTTCTACATGGGTACATTCTTTCCTAAAATACTTTTAATAAGCTTTTCTACTTCAAAGTAATATATAAGATGTATTTTAATCTGTGATTATTACCTTTTCATTGGATCATTGCCAAATAAGCTGTTCGTTAGATGACCTTTATCCGGTGGCTTTTCATTGTAACTATACATATAAATATATATAAATATAAATATATGATTATTAATAAAATATTATTTCAAAACTCTTCTTCATACGTTCTCTCCTCTGAGAGACTTTGAGCAGAAGCACAACTGCTTCGATGTCTTACTCCACTGCCGTGTAATCGCTATCGCCACATCCTTACTGGTATAGGGACCGTTTAGCATGACCGAGATCTCATACTCTCCCACAGATCCCGATAGTTAGCTCTGTAACTCAAATTACCGTTTTTCTCATCGCTTACATAGCACATCTGTGGATGGCTAATTGCACTCTCGCTAGAGAGATTACGAATGTCAACTGAGCTTCTCACAAGCTACATCCGAACAGTATCTGTGTTTCTTATCCATTATCAACTGTTCTGTTTGTATTAGAGTGTATCTCATCCTCAACTCTTGTCTACCGTTCGAATACTATCATTCTATCATCGTCATATTGTAATTGTAAAACCCATGATATGATGTCAAAGACACTTACACTTGTGATTAGAGCAAATGAAACTCATTCATCTAATGCTTCGACACTTATAGTTACTCTTTGAATGTTCGCATGCAGCTGAGGGATGTGAAGTGTATGTCAAACTCAAAACACAAATGAAACGAATATACATTCACTTCTAATAAAACTTTCTTGTATGATACAGACTAGAAATACATGTGAAGCTAGTGCGTATTAGAAAACCGGGAAAAAGAAAACGATAGCTGGATATGCTATGACATGAAGGAAGTATAAAGGCAACAGTAAGCGAACATGATTAAATAAGTGGTTCCATAAGTAAAATAATATTATTAGATGAAGCACTTCCATTACTTGTGTTAGCAACACTTGCTTTTCCTAGACGATGGCTCATCATCCATTAGTTCGATCGTCCTTCGTGTATTGCTTACGTTGCCTCGGTTATTATTAGGATTCTCTTTAGCAGCTTCTAGCATAGCTGAAACACTTTGATAAGACCTACGTCGGATATAGAAAGCGGAACCTCTACATAGTTCTTCGAACACATTGCAAATTCCAAGGTTTTCTTTTGCTGACGTCTCGGCATACGAAGCACCTACAGATTTCGCATATCTGCAGAACAGAACATGATGGCGGAACAGGAACGTGAAACTCACTCCGTTGCTTCTTCATAATTGATAGTCCTATTGCTTTCTAAGTCAAGTTTGTTGCCGATGATGAAAAGAGAAACTGAATCGCCCAAAGCTCGCTGAAGTTCTTTGACCCATACTTTCACCTGGAGTGGAGTGATCATAGAAACAGAAACGGAATAATACTAACCTTGACGAAGGACTGTTGATCTGTGATATCATAGATTAGCAAAGCTCCGTGACTCCCTCTGCAAAAGAGAAACAGCTGAATGAATAGGAGGGAAAGAGAACCTGTAATAGATTGGGCCTAAAGCATGATACTTCTCCTGCCCAGCAGTGTCCCATATATTTAACTCTATCATTTTGTCATCAATAGTTATAGATTTTGAAAGAAAAGAAGCCTGCAAGAAAAAGACGCCCAGATGAGAATAAACTGAAATTGTCACCTGTATTGTTGAATTATGATGGGCAACGAACTTATTTTCAACATAACGTAGGAGGAGAGATGACTTTCCTACAGCTCCTTCACCGAGAAGAACAACTTTAAAGCGATATTCCATTCTGAAGAAGGATTTCAGGCAAAGACAAGCAGTTCTGCGTAGGAATCAAGAAAGGCAATTAACCTTGAGTTAGAAACACACAGAGAATTATCAAACTTTAACCAGAGAATGTGAGACCATCAACACAGAAAAGGATCAATACGAATTCGAAACATAATTATAACTGACCACATTGGGCTATAACAATCGGAATTTTGGGTTTGTTGTTCGCCCCTGTAGGGACATTCTCAATTTTTCTAACAGTTAGTAAGCCATCCAACACTCTCCCGAACACTACATGCTTTCCATCTAAGAAATCTGTCTTTGCACAAGTTATGAAGAACTGGCATCCGTTCGTATCGGCTCCGGCGTTAGCCTATGAAAGCAGCGTCTTCATCATACGAACATATGCAAACTAACCATGGACAGAATGCCGGGTCCTGTATGAGTTAATTCAAAACTTTCATCACGGAATTTCGCTCCATAAATGCTAGTTAATCCAGTTCCATCTCCCTACAAAATGAATAAAATGAATCATGTAACCATGTGCACTACTTACATTAACGAAATCTCCTCCCTGAATCATGAAATCTTTTATAACGCGATGGAATTGACTGTTTTTGTAACCCAGAGGTAAACTATCTTTCCTATACTCTCCCGTACAGAACTGACGGAAGTTTTCTGCAGTTTTTGGACAAATATCAGCATAGAGCTCCATCTTCAGATGAATAGGTTATCAATTGGAGTGAAACTAAGATGAACATACCACAATGGTTCCGATTGGTGCCCCACCTGCGGTCATTTCCATGAAAACTACTGGATTATCAGGATGGCGTAATTGCTCTTGGAATTTATCATAATCACACATGACTCTCTAAAATACTTCTTAAAATACGATTTATTCAACATAAGCATAACATGAATGCTTCCGACAAATGTAAAAAACAGCATCAGGCGTGAGTACAAAAATAAGAGTTCATTTGCGTACGCTGCTGAAAGCGAAAAAGTTGTTCACAGGCAATGCATTTCGAAAATATTTGTGCTCTTAGCGAAGCTCTTATTATTTATGTGGAAGAGACAATTGTAGATTTGTGTTTATAAGAACTATGTTGAGAATCAGTTTAGGTTCAATTCGAGTAAACACAGATGCCATTGAACGGATTCTTAAGAATATGGAAGATGCAATGCAGATGAATCGTCTGAGTTCCAAGTAAGTTTAGACCCTCACCATCTCGATGATCTAGTAGATTAATTGGAAAATACAAACTTTCAGTTATTCTTAAATTCAAGCGATTAGAAGAATCAGGGTTGTTGTATGAAGTCTTGTCAAGGAACTTTCATTTCTTAGAAACTACCAAGAGATGTGCGAGATTCAACTCTTTAGAATCCATACACTCTTCCATGCGTACGGCATTCCATAATTAGTGGTGAGAGAGTTTTTATATATATAGACAGTACATAATTCAGATCACGTACTTTCTGCACTCCCGACGGTCGAACTCATTGAATAAACTGAATCAGACAAAGTTCGTGCATTGATAATTGTTTTTGATCTTCGACTTAATTAGAGAGAAAAGGGTCAGCAAGATGAACCTGTTTTTCAACTACTATCAGTTTTTGATTGTTGATCAAGCTCGAGCACAATTCTTATAAAATGAAGGATTTTTTCAACCATCAAGCAATCGCTAGTGGTCAACTCCATTGATGAACTACATCGCAGAGGGGGCAGGCAAGTGACGTCAGCTGTACAGAATCTCAGTGATTGATGTAAGAATGATCCATACTGAAAGCATCCTTTCTTCAGAAAGAGCGAATTTATGATAACAACCCACAGCGTGTATTGTGTATGCCGTAATCTTCTCTTCGAAATACCATATGGCAAGTCAAACAACGTCGGGCCTGGTTAGTACTTGGATCGGAGACGGCTTGAGAATCCCAGGTGTCGTACACTTTTCATTTTTCCTTCACAGACTGATTGGCTGGTTTGAACACGCCGTTTTCAATCTTAGAGTATGGTGTGTACATAGATTGTCAGGCACTCCGCGTTCCCCCATGACATTAACAGATTAAGAGAGTACGCCTTGAAAAAAAAGTTTTGAATAATATTATGCAAATAGTGGACGATTAAGTCTTTAAGCAGTCATTATTTCATTACGGTGCTCCTGACTCGTACTATGTACGTTGCGCATTTAACGTGGGCCGTGCACTTTTGTACGAAAAGTGCACGGGACTTAAACTTTATACGGCGCACAAATTTGTCAGGTTTGGTTCCGCCGGATGTTTTTGGCAGTCCTGGGGATTGTCTGGTGTGAGAGAGAGGGAGCGATTAGGCTCACATGGCTTTCAAGGGTTGGCTTAACCCTTAGAGATCTGGAGAGGGCTCCGTCTCGAACTGTTGAAAGGCCTAGTCCTGAGGTTCACTAATTTTGGATAAGGGTGGAAACACCTGA